GCCCTCATTACCGCCTTCCACACCTCTCTTCAAGCCCCCTCGAGCTACGACGCGGAGGTTCAGGTGCTCAGATCCGTCTTCAGATTGCAGCTTTTACCTCTTCTCACATATGGATAGAGTTGGTCATTGTCACTGTTGTCACCCTTTTGACCTCAGGCAACCAGGGCTCGTGGCAGATTCAGCACCCGCTATTGCGCATCAGATCCACACTTCAGTCGGTTCGCTACCAGATCTTGCACATATTCTGCGAGGGGAGTCAATATGCGATTTACCTTACCATCTAGGTGTCTCCACACCACTTAGGCACACCTTGCACCCAGATGACGCCCCTCTCCGTCTTCGCACTCTTGTCGATGGACCAGATGGGTTATTCTTCTTTTAGATTCTAGTTGTTGTTCTGTACTTTTGTAATTTTGTGCTTCGACCCTCTTTGTGGAGTTGACTGCTTGCCTGGGAACCTGTTAGCTCATGCTCAAACTTTTCTTTTTGGTTGTTTGTCTTTTTCCTTTTTTTTTTTGCTTTTGTTTTTATGTTGGACTTGTGTAGACCTGTGTTTTTTTGGTCCATTTAGGGTCTTGACAAAAAACAGGTCGGTGATCCGACCATCATCCTCTCCCCCTGGGTAATTTTCTCTTGAAAAAAGAGTACTAACTCCCACAAGTGGAGAATACTACTACCCAACCGAGAGAATTAAAACCAAACAAATTATAAACACAAACACAACTCAAAATAAAAAAAAAAAGCCTAAAAAAGGAAACCAAAGGTTAAAGCCCTATACGCCAACCAGAAAAGAGCTCTGAATCTCCATTAGTCGACCCAATGCCCGAAGGCAATAAAACGATGGACATAGTACCTAGGAAAAATCGAGAACACCCGAAGGCAATAAAACGATGAGACATAATACACTCTATAAAAATTACTTATCCTTCGAAAAATTTTAACTGGAGGAACTCCACTCGTTGAAAAGATTATTGTTTGAGTCGTCAAAATCCAACGAAATTTCTAATGGATAAGTAATTTCAATAGATTGTTTTGTTGGAAT